ATCTATTCTATTTTTTCAATCAAACTATACTCCCTCTTAAAATGTTTCTTTTGTGTTTTACATAGTTTACAATAAAAGTGTACTACCCCTTATATCCTTTCTTTCCCAACAATAATTTCTTTCTTTTTAGTAGTGAGGATTGAACGAGGGCCTTCACATTGAATTATATCTCCCAGTTCTTTTTATTTTTTATTTTGAGACAGGGTTAATTTGATCCAGGTTGGGCTTGATTTTGTGACTCTCCTACCTCAATCTTCTAGTGTACTGGGATTACAGGCATGCATTACTACACCTGCTAACAAACTTTCTGTAACAATTTCTGCTATATCAATTTTGGTAAGTCTCTCCTAGATGGAATATAAATATGTTTTAAATGTCACAGGAAGACATGCAATGAAAAAAACACTGAACCTGGTATTGTAAGACCTGGGTTCAAGAAATGCGTCTATCATATTATGCTAAACAAGTCACACTATCTTTGGGTATCACTTTCATCTTCAAGAACATGAAACTATTAGCCAGGCATGGTAATCCACACCTGTAATCTCAGCACTTGGGAGGCTGAGACAGAAGGATCTTGAGTTCAAGGCCAGCCTTACTACACAGTAAGACCATACTGAACGAAGGAAGAAAGGAAAGGAGCGAGGGAGGGAAGGAGGTAGGCAGGCAGGCAAGAAAGAAAGGCAGAAAGGAAGATGGGGAGGAAGTAGGAGCGTGGGGAGAAGGAGAAAAGAAAAAAATGACAGTATTTACTTGTTCTATTTTAATTCCCAGGCCTGGTAGCACACCCCTGTAATCCCTCCAGTCCAGAGGCTGAGGCAGCAGGACTGATGCGAGTTCAAGGTCAGCCTGGGTTACATACTCAGTTTAAAGCCAGCCTGAACTACACAGTGAGACCCCGTCTCCAAGAACAAAAACAAAAAACAAGCAAACAAGCAATAAGGATATTAATTACATAGTATTGTTTGTATGTATGTATGTATTTATTTATTTGTCTTTTTGAGACAGGGTCTCATTATGCAGTTCAGGCTGGCACTGAGCTCACTTTGTAGCCCAGGCTGGTCTCAAGCTCACAAGGATCCTCCTGCCTCAGCCTCCCAAGTACTGGGATTACAGGCGTGCACCACCACAATTACATAGTATTTTAATGCACTCAAGACTAAAAGATAATTGTTCCCAAACCAACAATAACTACCTTTGAATCTATTGCTTAAAGATCTCATTGTTTTTGTACCCAAATTGCTAAATTTAAAAATTTAGGAAATCCAAAGACTAGTTTAAATCATGTAAATCCAAACCAAGCATGGTGATGCATGCCTGTAATCCCAGCACACGGGAGTCTGAGGCAGGAAGATGACCGTGAGTTTGAGGCCAACCTGGAATACATAGCGAGTCCCTGTCTCAAAAATAAAACTAACAAAGAAAGAAATTGTATAAATCTTTTTAAGTGCCTCAAATATCTGTGTAATGCTCTCATGCTTTTTATTTTAATATAACACAAGTAGATATTATTAAGAAAATATAAAAACACTCTTACTTCTGTGAAAAAAATGAAAGAAAGCTTCATAACAAAATAGACTACCAGATGGCTAATACACTGCTTATCATGATCTTAAAAGAATGGCAAAAATGTTACTTAGTCTCACTGTGTTTTGAATCCATCCCATTAGAAATAACAGATTGCAGGGAAAGAGAGGGATACAAAGTATATACATAGATGCACAAATAAAGTCCATTACAGAGGCAGGGAAACCAAGTCTCTTCTAGTCTCAACCATAATCTTATAAACATTGTAAAAAATACCTAAAACAATATCCCCAAGTAGAAGTATGATTTCCATCAAAAGAACATATACAGCCAGGAGTGTTGGCACACATCTGTAATCTCAGCACTCCAGAGGCTGAGGCAGGAGGATCACTGTAAATTTGAGGCGAGCCTAGGCTACATAGTGAGTTCAAGGCCAATCTGAACTTACCAAGACTCTGTCTCAAAAAACAAAAGAAGAGCTGGGTGGTGGCCCACGCCTGTAATCCCAGCACTCGGGAGGCTGAGGCAGGAGGATCCTTGCAAGTTTGAGGCCAGCCTGGGCTACAAAGTGAGCTCAAGGCCAGCCTGAACTGCATAGCAAGACCCTGCCTCAAAAAGACAAAAAAAAAAAAAAAAAAACGTCTGAATACCATCAAATGATCATAAAAATAAATACCAGAGGTATTAAGCAGTTTGCTGGATTACCTCGCCGTTTGTTAGTAACAGAGGGCAGCCTAAACCTCATTGATTTTATCCACCCTGCTCTCATGAATAGTATGAATTTGTCCTTTAACCCTCAATTTATGTGAGCACTGTCTTCTTCATTAGACCCATTCATTCCCTTTTTCAACCCAAGTGATCACACTTTTTTTAATACTCTGGATCTACTACTGGCCTTATAACTATACTGTTGCAATTTTTGTGTCTGTCTTCCCAGATGGACTAGAACACTTCTTGAGGGCAATCACTGTATCTTTCATTTTTCTTTCCTTGGAACCCTTGCAGCACACCAGTTATCCTTACCCTCTGTAACTCTAAAATCTTTCAAAGGGTTAAATTTTAGCTGAAGTACAACCTTAAAATCAAATTACCTACAATGTGAACAAACCACACTAAAACATTCACCTGCCTTAAATTCTACTTTGGAATATGGAACATTAATAAAATGCATAATTTATGTACCTATATCAAAGCAAAACAAGTTACAAAGCATTTTTAAAAAGTCCTTTCTCTGCTACTCTAAAAGGTTGGTCTGATACTCTGATAAGAACTGAAGGCTTGGAAAATTCAACACTCTCTTTAGGTATAAATTCACTTCTTGATTGAATGGGATTATTTACTAAGTATGAAACAATGTACTACACTAAGAAAGATCCCAGGATGTAGAAACTAATGCAGCAACATTAAACGAAGTTTTTAGAAATGTCAGGAGAAAAAGACATCATATACTTAATAGTTAATTATAAAAAATAATAGTAGCTTCTAAAAAATTCCTAAAGCATGTATGCAAACTTTTATATTCTATAAAACTGAAAGAAAAAAAAAAAAAAAAAAAAAAAAAAAACCTAGGCATGATGGCCTACACCTGTAATCCAGCTATTTGGGAGGCTGAGGTCAGAGGACTGCAAGTTTTAGGCCAGTATGGACAACTCACTGAGACCCTGTCTCAAAATTTTAAAAGGGCTGGGATATAACTCAGCACTCCCTGAGTTCAATACCCACTACAAAAAAAAAAAAAAAGTTAAACTTGTGAATGTGAACATTAAAATATGTTGGGAGCCACTGGAGTTGGTTATTGGTCAAGCAGTCAAGCTACCTCAGCAGGGAAAAGGCATCCTGCCGGACAATTACAGTCGTTAGTCGCCAGGCAACATTACCCGCCCCCCATGATACCAACTTTGCAAATGTATAAAACTAAGGCCCGTACAGGTGAAGTCAGTCCTCTCGCTCATCGGACAAGAGGTAATTCCAGCTGATCCCGGCTACCATCTCGTCTTTATCTTCTTTATTTTTTATTTATTTATTTATTTTTCTCTTTTTGAGACAGGGTGTCGCCGTGCAGTTCAAGCTGGCCTAGAGCACACTTTGTAGCCCAAGCTGGTCTTGAACTCGCAACGATCCTCCTGTCTCAGCCTCCCGAGTGCTAGTATTACAGGCGTGAGTCACCATGCCCGGCTCGTCTTTATTTTCTAAATCCTGTCGCCGTTTCCTCCCACCGAGACACCACCAACTCCCACAAAAAAATACAGTATATTATTTGCAAAGGAAGCAGCAAGTAAGTAACCTGCGCAGAAAACACAAATACCAAGAGGTTCCCTAAGAAAAACTCTGCTGTAGATTCGATTAATTTAGGCAAAATTTATGGAATTTGTGGAAGCGCTACGTGCTTTATGCCTATATAACCTTTGAACTAAGTTTGGATTAACAAATAATATACATTCTCAAATAGTTACAGCCATCTTCCTTTTATTTCTCAACTAAGGCACAGCAGTCTAATTTGCAAGTGAATTACAGCGCCAGCGCCAGCGCAGGCAGAGCAGTTAAAGGAGCCTCTTGGAGGCAGAACCGCAAGGCTGAGGCGGCGAAGGTGCTGCAATCGGTGTTCCCAGCCCCTCTACACAGCCTTCCCCGTTCACACTGTCTTCACCACTCTTCTCACAACGGTTTTGGGTTTTGCTCTGTTTTGCTGTGGGCTTTGATGCCCTAATAAACGACTTTCCAGAGTTTTTTCCAGGCGCGACCTGCAAAGATTTTGGTACCTCCTTAACAAGTAACCTTGTTGAAGAGGAAAGCCTCCTTCATGTCAATCAATCCAAACACCCACTGCTTAAAATATAATTATAACCCCAACGCCTTATCAGGCGAGCACAGGGCAGGAACCCCCACCGCTCGCTCTTTCACCTTCTTGCCTCCTCCGTTTCTCGTTCGTTCCCCGTCTCAGCGCCTGCTCCCCCCACGAAAAAATTTCCACAGCTGGAGAATCTCATTTCCAACGCCAAACAACGCAGGGAGGGGAACAAGTACGTGGGGTCTTTCTCCTTCCATGATCTGTGCTCCCTCCGTCACTCAGGAAGTTAAGCAAGAATCTTTACTCTCGCCGCCCTCTAAGCAAGATGAAGCGCTGAGTACACGCAAACACCACGGCCGGCCCCGAGCGGCGGGGTCCCGGGAGGAGACGACGCGGCGGCTCCCGAGCCCGCGCCCG